TCTATCTCTTATGCATCATGAATCAGAGGAATAAGAACCCACCATTGTTTTTCAGTGAATAAAAATTGCATTCACTGAAAAACAATAACGTGTTCTGCCAGCTCTATTTAGTCATGCATAAGAGATTCAGATTTTAGTTATTAACAAAAGTTGTAGTTAATATCAAAAGCTTCAAAAGTTTCATACATTATTTTACGGTATTCTGTTGATGAAAAAAGTTAAAGGCAAATGAATGTCAATGAATGCACGAAATGAATGTAAATGATTTTCCATCCCTGCCGACCACCGCACAGAAAAAAAATTCTGAATTTAACTATCGCGTATAATTTCCCTACGTTTAATTTTGAGCTATACTTGGCATAAACAGCTTAATCGTTTACAAGTTTGCATACAATATAGCTAATTTATGCGATATTGCGCTTAAAGTTACACGAAATATCGCGTAAATTTATGCCAAATCTAGCGTTAATTTTATGTGCGCTATATCTCGCAGAAATTTACATGAATTTTTCATACGGTGTGCACTTAAAAAAAAATCGCAAATAAGGTAATAGGGGCAGAATTGACATAGTCTGCACAGACGGGTGATGTATGAAACCATTTTTTAATGGATTCTCCAGACGTTTTTCTATAAGAGTGACAGTATTTCAGAATGAATATTACCCACAATTAGCTATTTTTTTAGTCATTTATACAATATTTAAGAAATAAAAGTAAAATGCTTCAAAAACCCCAAATTGCCCTATTCTGCACAGGACGAAACTAATTCCACTGGATGCCTGAGACTTTTTCCCATAAGAATGATTATATTTGCTAAGAATTGAATGCTTAGATATCAACGAGAGAAGTCATTGTTTACAAAAGTTGCTACGCCCTAATTCCAGCTATATCTTGAATTGTCTGAAATGGATCTCACGAGAATTTGAGAGAAATGATGATATGAGTACTGACTTCCCAACAAACATTGAATGTTTAATAAGAGCTTACTCAGGCAAAAATAATCTTATTCAACTTATTCAACTGTTAATCAACTCAAATTGTTTGTTGGGTAGCTCTAACCGGTGAAAACTAACGATCTTAAATTGGCTTACTACTGGACTAGCCTATTGGTTCGAAGCAAATCGATTAACGTTCCCCGTTCTAGTCAAAATTCTAGTACTACACAATGTTTGTTTTGATTCGCTATGAAAGTTTGACCGATAAAATTAAGGGGTTCGTGGATTTTTCTATGTTTCGAGGGGTGCATCGACTAGCTTGGGACCGAAGAGAGTACCAGAGTTGAGCCCAAAAGTTGAGCACGTTTTTCGGGACCTTCTGGTCTTAGAGTTACCTATACGCTAGTACTGTACCGTCTGTATTGTATTCGACTCGATGATTCAGTTTTTAATGCACTTCTGCGCATCCTTACTTTCTACATTTATCGGTCAAATATATCGAAAATACCTATTACTACAATAGGTTTCAAAGCTCTCAATAAAGAATTGTGGAAGTAGAAAAACACCAAAGCCGAGTTAAGATGAGGCAACTGAGTTTTTTTTTCAAAGTATTTATTTGGAAAGCTCATTGTTTCTTTGAGCTAAACGGAGCCGCGGGACGAACATTTTTATTTTCAATTATTGAGATCCTGATTTTTCTTCTCCAATGTTTGATTCTTTCTTCCAATCTCCTTTTTTTTTTTTTTTTTTTTTTTTTTTTTTTTTTTTTTTTAACTCTTTATTTGTTCCAAATTCAAAATAAATTACATTTCATTTTTAACCTAGGTGCTCCAGTTACTACAGTAACTTACCAGCCTTAATTGTTATGATATATATCTAAGTATTTTTACATTGTTCCTGTCTTGGCAATTCAGTATTTTAAACAGGTTTTTTAAACCTGCATGTCAGTATAACAATTGATAGCTTAAAACTAAATAACTTAAACTAAATCTTATCTAAGTATAAAGGGAATTAATCGTTGCAATTGAGGATTGTAACGATTTTTGCCGGAAATTATTAATTATTTTGTTGGACATTTGTGCTAAAGTCTCAACATTCGAAATTCTATGTACTTCGGTAGTACTGTACCAGGGAGGCAACTTCAAAATCATCTTCAGAATTTTGTTCTGAATCCTTTGAAGTGCTTTTTTCCTGGTAGTGCAACAACTAGACCATATTGGCACAGCGTAAAGCATGGCCGGTCTAAAAACTTGTTTAAATATTAGAAGTTTATTCGTCAGGCAAAGTTTGGATTTCCTGTTTATAAGAGGATACAAACATTTTATATATTTGTTACATTTGGCTTGAATGCCCTCAATGTGATCTTTAAAAGTTAATTTATGGTCAAGTATTAATCCAAGATATTTCACTTGGGTTGACCAGGAAATTGGAACTCCGTTCATAGTGACTATGTGACTACTACTAGGTTTCAAAAAGGAAGCCCTGGGCTTATGTGGAAATATTATAAGTTGAGTTTTGGAAGCGTTGGGAGAAATCTTCCATTTTTGTAAATAAGAAGAGAAAATATCTAAACTTTTCTGAAGTCTGCTGCAAATAACACGAAGACTTCTTCCTTTAGCGGAAATGCCTGTGTCATCAGCGAACAAAGATTTGTGGCAACCCTGAGGCAAATCAGGGAGGTCCGAAGTGAAAATGTTATACAATATAGGCCCAAGAATGCTACCCTGAGGAACTCCTGCTCTAACAGGTAGTCGATTAGATTTGGAATTTTGATAATTTACCTGCAGAGTTCTGTCAGTTAAATAATTTTGAACTAATTTCATAATGTAAAGTGGAAAATTAAACTTTTTCAATTTAGCAATCAAACCTTCATGCCAAACACTGTCGAATGCTTTTTCTATGTCTAGAAGAGCAACTCCAGTTGAGTGGCCTTCAGATTTGTTTGAACGAATTAAATTGGTAACTCTCAAGAGTTGATGAGTAGTTGAATGCCCATGGCGAAATCCAAACTGCTCATCTGCAAAAATTGAGTTCGTGTTGATGTGAAGCATCATTCTATTCAAAATTATTTTTTCAAAAAGTTTACTTATTGAAGAAAGCAAACTTATTGGACGGTAGCTAGAAGCTTCAGCTGGATTTTTATCCGGCTTCAAAATTGGAACAACTTTTGCATTTTTCCATTTATCAGGAAAGTATGCCAAATGGAAACATCTGTTAAATAATTTTACCAGGAAAGACAAGGTACTCTCTGGGAGTTTTTTGATGAGGATATAGAAAATACCATCATCACCTGGAGCTTTCATATTTTGAAATTTTTTGGTTATAGACCTTACTTCGTCCAAATCAGTCCCCCAGGAATCATCAAAAATATTTTCCCGAGAGAAAATATTCAGAAAATCCCGAGCAACCTGATTCTCAATAGGACTAGTAAGACCCAAACTGAAATTATGGGAACTCTCGAATTGCTTAGCAAGTTTCTGAGCTTTTTCCAAATTTGTGATCAAAATTTTACCACCTTCTTTAAGCGCTGGAATTGGCTTTTGAGGTTTTTTCAAAATTTTTGTGAGTTTCCAAAAGGGTTTGGAACTCGGGTCTAATTTAGAAACATTATTTTCAAAAGTTTTGTTCCTCAGGGCAGAGAATCGCTTTTTAATTTGTTTTTGCAAATCCCGCCAGATAACTTTCATGGCAGGATCGCGTGTTCTTTGAAATTGTCTCCTACGGACATTTTTAAGACGGATCAAGAGCTGAAGATCATCGTCTATTATAATTGAATCGAATTTAACCTCGCATTTTGGTACTGAGGCAGCTCTTGCTTCAACTATAGAAGTAGTCAGAGATTCAAGAGCATAATTAATTTCATCTTTGGTTTGCAAAGGAATGTTTGGATCGAAGTTATATTCCATAAATGTTCGATATTGCTCCCAATCAGCCCTATGGTAATTGAAAGTAAAGCTGTTGGGATTGGAAATTATTTCTTGGGATATTTCAAAAGTTACTGGAAGGTGATCAGAACCGAAGTCAGCATGGGTAACCAATTGGCTACAAAGATGACATGAATCAGTTAAGACCAAATCAATAGTTGAGGGATTTCTTGCAGAAGAAAAGCATGTTGGGCTGTTTGGATATTGAATAGTGTAATGACCTGCAGAACAATCATCAAACAGAATATTACCATTGGAATTGCTTTGAGCATTATTCCATGAGCGGTGTTTTGCATTAAAATCACCAATAATGAAGAATTTAGACCTATGACGGGTAAGTTTCTGGAGGTCACCCTTGAGAAAATTCTTTTGCTGGCCTACGCATTGAAATGGCAAATAGGCAGCTATAAACGTAAGTTGTCCAAATTTTGTTTCAACAGAAACTCCCAAAGTTTCAAAAACTTTGGTTTCAAATGAAGAAAGAATTTTATGCTTGATTCGTCTATGAATAATGATGGCAACGCCACCACAGGGTCCATCAAGACGATCATTTCTATAAATCAAGTAATTTGCGTCCTTCTTAACCTTATGGTCAGGTTTAAGGAACGTTTCAGTTATAACGGCAATATGCACGTTATGAACTCTCAAAAAATTAAATAGCTCGTCTTCATTATCTTTAAGAGATCGAGCGTTCCAATTTAAAATGTTTAAAGCTTTAAAATCCATTACTGAATTTTAAAGTCATGACAATATTATTAGCAAATTTTACTCCAGTTTGAATAGCATCAAACATGGAGTTAGATTTAAGCATATCAGAAATCATGTCAATTAATGAATTCTGTAAAAATTCCATTTTAGGGGCAGTAATGCTTCCTAAGTCAAAATTGTCAAAATTTCCGTTAGAACGTTGGTTAGTATTTTGATTTCTACCCGCTGCAATAGCAGCATAGGTAGCTCCATTAACTCGCTGAACATTGTTAGCAGCGAGGGGAGTAGGTACAGATGAAACATTTGAAGCAGGGGAGATATTTGTACCTACGGGTACGAATGTAGAATTTGTTCCTCGCTGACCGTTGTTAACAGCAGAGGAATTTGTACCTGGTCGGAAACGTGGAGCGTTTCCTACCTGACGGTTAGAACGAGATTGTAGGATCGCTTTGCGAGTCTTACATTCCCAAAAATTGGATTTGTGGTTTTCACCACAATTTGAACATTTAAATTTCTTAGGATCTTCCTTCACAGGACAGTCGTCCTTTGCATGAGAGGAATCACCACAATTCATGCATTTAGCTGGCATGTAGCAATTTTTAGTTCCGTGACCCCATCCCTGGCACTTACGGCACTGGGTGAGGTTTTGGAAATTTCCTCCAGTCTTCCTGAAGTGTTCCCACTTCACTCGGACATGGAGCATAAGCCTAGCTTTTTCTAAGGCCTTAAGGTTGTTTAGTTCACTAGACTTGAAGTGAACTAAATAAAAATCATTAGAAATCCCGTTGCGCGAATCGCCAGGACGGGATTTCATTTTCATTTTGATTACTTGGAGTGGCACAACTCCAAGTAATTTTGCCAGTTCATCTTTGATCTGATCCAGGGATTCACCACTGGGCAGTCCTTTCATGACAACCTTGAACACACGTTCAGTTTTGGTGTCGTAAGTAAAAAATTTATGCTTCTTCTCAGTAAGATACTTGAGAAGACATTTAAATCCGTCCAAGGTTTCAGCCAATACACGGCATTCACCCCGACGTCCAATTTGTAGTGAAAACTTAACTTTCACGAAATTCAAAAGTTCCATGCGAAGAGCATGGAAATCGGTAGTGGTTATCACAATAGGGGGAATCTTTTCTTTCTTGGCATTAAGCCGGGAAAGTTTACTAGAATTTTTCTTGGATGATGGATCATTCTCATCATCCGTGAGCAAATCAAATTGATTACTCAAATTAATTTCATCAGAAGGGGGGTCAAGAGTTTGCCCCTTTCTTTTGCGTTTAGGCGCCATGGCGGCAGTAAATTTTTATCCAAATCGACTTCCAAGCAGATTACTATAAGAATCTGAAGGATCGAAGAGGAATTTTCCAAATCGATATCCAAGAAGGATTACCTCGGGTAGGGTCCAAACAAGGATCGAAGAGGAATAAGAGGAGTTGAACAAGGTAGAAAATTTTTTACAGGTTGAGCACTGAAAAGTGCGATTATGCGATTATCCAAATCGACTTCCAAGCAGATTACTATAAGAATCTGAAGGATCGAAGAGGAATTTTCCAAATCGATATCCAAGAAGGATTACCTCGGGTAGGGTCCAAACAAGGATCGAAGAGGAATAAGAGGAGTTGAATAGGGTAGAAAATTTTTACAGGTTGAGCACTGAAAAGTGCTGTTTAAATTTGTTGTAGCTTTAGGTAGTAGTAACACTTCCTTAAGCAAAAAGCAAATAGATCCGCACGGCAAGAGAGCACGATGCGGACTGACTTCCAATCTCCTTTTATTCTCTATCGCTTGATGTGCCACCAGACCCGCCCAATGTTCTGCCGACAGTTTGGGTTCAGTCTCCGTGACCCAGTGACGTCCATTTTCAGTACCTCTGTTTCCTGGCTGCTGCTGCTGTCCAACAAAGCATCAGCCACTACACCAGCGTACGTACTGCTACCTTTTTCGTCACGTTCATCTTCGTCCTTTTAGATTACATCCGGTTGTTTTCCAAGCTGCAGCTGCTGTTTTCGAGCATTCCGCTTGGGGCAGGAACTAATTCGGTGTCCCTGCGCCTTAAATAGAAAGTATTTGTCCTTGTTTCCCAAATAGAATATATGCTCTTCTTCCGATTGAGGAAATTAAGTGAAGAGGGAATTTCCTTTTCGACTTCCAACAAAACGCCTTGCACTCCTGTGAACACATCGAGGCCCAATGGAACAAGAAACTTTTTTCCGTATGACCGCTTCACTTTCCCGTGAGGCAAGTGAGTTGAATTCAACTCACCCTCGATCTGGTGGATAACATATAAGTGACTTGAAAGCGAATGCATAAAGTTGAACAACGACTAACTTTTCGGTCACTCACATTGCAGTTCAGTTGAGTTGAACACCGACTTGAATCGTCTACACCGAGCTTAAGTTGAGCCACAGCCACAAGCTTCAGTTAGATGGTTTTTGTAACTAATCCTCATTAATGTTCCATTTCCAATAGCACCCATCACCGTGGAAGATAATCATGTCAACGATGATCTTGATCTCACCACCAGTGGCCAGGAAGGCCAGGTCACTCCGAAAAGAAAGGCATTCCGAGTAATCCAAGCCGAACGTGAAAAAAAGCATTTGGATCTGAATCTACTTCGCAAGAAGCGATTCATTGGTAATCTTCTGAATCTGATTCCCGTGAGTAGTGTTGAAAAGACGTGTAACTTGAAAGACTTAATACTGTACGTATCCAATTCTATTCAGAAAAACAAATCCCATCAAGAATGCACCACTCCTTCCGGAGAAAAGGGTCACTGCAAACGCTACCAGCACTGTAAGTTCGCGGCCTCGAAGGAAAATATCTGGAAGATACTAGGACAGTTGTGCGTCATAGAAAATATGTATGATCTTTGTATACATTACCGTCCAAAAAACGAGTAACTCTTCTTTGATTCTATTGCACAGGTCCATTGGAATTTGCTGCCCGGATAATGCCACGGACGGAGTGGGACCGGATTTCTCCCTTCGACTGCCGTCTCAAGCGGATGATTATGATTCGGTTGATGGGCTGGACGGTGACAATGCCGTCGATGGTCGAGATAACCGTGATCGCCCGGAAGAACGGGGCTGTGGCATATCAACTAAACAACTGTCGAAGATTGCCGGTGGACGGCCCGCTGATCCCGGGGAATGGCCCTGGATGGCAGCGCTCATTCCCAACAACGGACAGCAACAGTTCTGCGGAGGAGTTCTGGTCACTGATAGACACGTCATGACGGCGGCTCATTGTGTGCTGAATCTGAAGATCCATCAGTTTTTGGTGCGGTTAGGCGAGTATGACTTTACCCAGTACAACGAGACCAGATCCAGGGACTTTCGAGTGACGGAGATTCGAAGCCATGTGGATTTCGATCCAGTCAGCTACGAGAATGATATTGCAATGATGAAATTGTTCCGCCCGTCTTACTTCAACTCGTACATCTGGCCAATTTGCATGCCACCGTTGGACGATTCCTGGGATAGTTACCGTGCGGTGGTCGTAGGGTGGGGAACGCAGTTCTTCGGAGGACCTCATTCCAAGGTACTGATGGAAGTTGCACTACCAATATGGTCCAACAGAGACTGCCAGGATGTGTACATTAACCGAATCTACGAGTCAAGCATCTGCGCCGGAGACTATGGTGGGGGTAAGGACTCGTGTCAGGGTGACAGCGGTGGCCCTTTGATGCTTCAACTTCCGAACAATCGATGGGTAGCGGTTGGAATCGTTTCCTGGGGAATTCGGTGCGGTGAGGCGAATCATCCTGGCATCTACACCCGAGTGAGTTCGTACGTTCGATGGATCATCGAGAATGCTGTGTTTTGAGCTGGGTGAAAATTTTAATGACCTCTATAATGGATTGCATTTATCTACTGTTCGTGTTAGGTATCAACTAGGAGATGTGAATAAATCGAAAAGTAACTACTTTCCTTAATCTCAGTCAATCAATCTTTCCATTTCAGCACGCTTGTTTTATGAGCAATAAAAATCAAACAACCAGACTGTAAGGAGACGGTGTTGTATGATAAACAAGTTTCAGAGGGATGATCAAGTCAAAAATCACTGCTTCCAGCGGAAGTTGAGAAGAACAGTGGTTCCAATGTGTATTAATTTACGCAAATTTGTTTTTCTAGATTTGAAAAAAAAAGAATTGAAGATCACATTTAATTGAGCATGGAAATAATTGTCCATTGCTGTATTTCCAGGTGTATTATTGAATTAATTTTTGGAATTTTGTTATTGAATACCAGTAACTTATATAAATTACTACTCGTTTTTTTTTTTTTTTTTTTTTTTTTATTTGGGCTAAACTGATGCGGTATGACGAAATAGCTCTCCATATTCCAGCAGTCTCATGGTATTCGGTGTGTGAAACTAAGCCATTTAGCCTAATGATCATCTACTTTACAAACAATTAATCATATTGTCGGGCAGTTTTTAGACGAGCTTCTAACAGCGATTTTGAGAAACTGAAGTGATAAATTCATTATGTTTTTAACTTAGCATACATTTTAAATATTATCCCACGGTGAAGTACGAGTGGTAGTAAACGTCTGTATAAACTGCTCGAATGATGTGATCCATTGCACTTCCTAATTTCGAAACCTGTGTAATACACTCTTGCGTGAACCATTCAACCTAAAGGTTTTCGGCTTACTGGCATTCGGTCTAATGGATGAATTTAAAATAAAATGCTCCCGTCTTTTTTAAAGCAAACACATGCTTTGAAATAGGTTATTCTACCTATTTAGCCTCCGAAACGCGTGTTTAGAAGTCGAAAGAAAGTGCAAGGTATCGTTTCACTGCACCCAATCCGATTCGTTCGTGCCAACGAGTGTGAAAAGAAAAATCAAACACCGCAAAAATAGAACAATCAAGCGTATGTGTGATATTGGCACCTTCAGTTTCAAAGCGATCGATTCGCTGCTGTTGGCAACAGAAGCGGCTCATGTCCAAATTAGGACGCTATCCGTGTATTCTCGCATGGCGGCGGCGGCTGGTTACCTACAAACCTACAACATATATGGAAAATGCCACGCCATCCACCCATAAACACATTCAATCGATGAGTACTCTGCGCCAGGATTCAAGTCTTGCGTAATGTTGCGTCAAAATCGTATTAAGGGTTGTGTGTGCGCAGGATTCTGACAGGCAATCTGGGCACTGTCTTCCGGCATGCAGCGATAATAACTTTCGCAGTACTTTTCTCTTGATGCAAAGCCTGCAATTATTTCAATAATTTGAAAAGTTTCTTCTGTGGGAAAATTGGTTGCTCAGGGCTGCCCCCACCTCACAACATACAATGTATGTTCAATTTCCACCACGCGCGAATAGACATGTGTTAAACCAGTTGACAGGTGTGCATGAGAACCGGAGAAATGATTTAGTGCACCCTCGCGGCGAGTTGAGTTGCAGGTCACGCTACGAGCAGGATACATTTCGTTCCAGCTTCGCGATGAGTAAAAAATATGTGTAACAGTAACACGAATGTTGTATTTTTTATATGTAGTGAATCGCTTCGATGAGTAATTTGCATAGCACGTTCTTCGAAGGTAGTTCAACAAATGTCAGTGTCAATTGTCTGTAGCGGAATTTGCTTGACAGGCTGGAGAGTTTAGATGAAGCGAACCAAATGCTAAGTAATGCTGTGATGAACATAAGGATCACGAGTAGTTATTTGATTGATGAACTTACAAAAATGTAATTCCAAGTAACATTTTCAGCTTTATGAAGTACTACAACATTATTCATATAACCCTGCTAAAGGCAGCATTACTTTTTTTGTATCCACCAATACCTAATCTGGAGAAGGTTCTGGTATATGTTCAATGCACTTCAATATTTATTTACTGTAAAAAAATTATGTGAAGAACGCATTTGTTATCAACTTATTTATTTGGAAGACTCAATAACGTTAGCTTTACGAAGCCGATATATCATTGATCCATGTTTAACAAGAATAACTTAATGATACGTCTAGTAGGGGTGGACTCATTACTCGCAGTGGCCTCGAAGGGAAGTCGGAAAAGTGTCCTTGTATCTGAGGTTATCATTTGCTTACCATGTATTAAAAGATCACATCACAATCCAAAGTGAATCCAATTCTAATTCATCCTTTCCACCAACAAAACCCTCCATCCTGTGACAATCATGGAGATGCAGAGGTATACTCGGTCTCTAGTAGAAACGGGTGTCAACTAACAATCCTTTCCCTCCCCGATGACCATAAAGACGTGGCTGGTGCCATTACTGACCTCAATGGCATCGTGTAGGGAAAAGTTTCCCCTACCCAATGATGCTGTTAGTTTGCGTAGGTGGCTTACGCTTTGCGAATAAAGGGCTTACAGACCTTTTGTTTACACATTATAATGGGTTCTTTTCAGGGTTGCTTCCACTCACTTGCTATAAAAAAACATATTTTTTCGGAATTATGCATTCATTAGATGATATGAAGATATGCTGTACTTGTAAGTAATGAGAAGGGGGTTTAAAGTATGTGTTTGACTCATAAAACCTGTCAATTTTGCTTTCAGAGCGTCACAATAAACGATCTTATGATTCGTGAGCGTTCACTCAGAGTGAGCACTCACGAGTCGTAAAATTGCTGATTGTGACGCACTGAAAGCAATATTGACAGATTTATGTGTCAAGCACACACTTCATGTCCTCATCTTGTAACTTACAAGCAGTCTTGTAAGCGGTCACGGTAGTCGACACATTTTCTGTGATAATTGACTGCCTTTGCCTCCGACACTTGCAAAACAAGCTATCAAATGACAGTACTAAACTAAAATGTCATATGACAGACTCTGTCATACGACACTGTCGCCGAAGACCGTCACGAATGTATGTATTTTAGTTTTTCTCATAATAAGAGCTGCTGATGGTGTGCTTGTGTGAATTCTGAAAATAGCAAGCAATGATGTCCTAGTAATAATATTTCTGATCATAAATGGTTTAATTTACACCAAATTGAGGAATTACAACGAAATCACACATGTCATATGATAGCTATTTTGATAATTTTCTTTTAGCTCGAATGTTATTCTACCGCTCGTGTTGTGTGAGAGAGACGACGGTAGAGCATGAGTGTTCGAATACAAACAGACTGTCGCGCATGACAACGAAGCGAGTGTAGTAAAAAACGTCAACTGTTTCAACCCCTGCTTACAAGTACTAATTATCACTATACCATCTCATGATTTCATAATTCTGAAAAACATTTTTTTATAGCAAGTGAGTGGAAGTAACCATGGTTCTTTTCAATTTTACCCCAGAATTTATGATCCGAAAAATTCACGGGGGCAGCAATCAAGAATTTCGTCCTAGCTCACAACAATGTGATGCATATAAGGACTAGGATGACTGCAACAGACAACTCTTTCTACCATTCAGCACTGCGATGCAAGTTTGAAGGAGTAAGCTGTTTTTTTTCTGTCGTACCTCCGTCATTTTTACCGCTGTAAGTATGCCCAAAAGTGTCAGATTGTCCAAAAATGTCAATATCATGTGAGCTACGGTGCATCTAAATGTGGTTGACAGGATATAGGGTCCCCTGAAAAAAATATTATTCAAAGCCATGCCTGCTTCGCAGAGAAAATTTAATTTTATTTCAAGCAATGTCCAGCATTCGAATTTTAGATCATGAGTGCACAAATGAATTTAAGTTCATGTACTGACGTAAATTTTTCAGGGGAACAGGGTAATATTTGCTTTTCATGAACACTGAATGTTCATTATTCATTATTCATGAACATTTAGTGCAAATTTTTAGCAATCATTGCCCCGTTCTCCAATCAAATTTTCATCAGTCATCCACTCAAATTCATCGGTGAACTCATCCATTAAAAAAAAATTACTCTTTTATATAAATTCGGATACAAAATGGTACGAACTGAAATATTTTGCAAAAGTAGGATAGGGTCTGTGTGATGGTCATATAAAACACCCGTGTCCAGATCAGAGGTTAACTGTGTATATATTTTTATGCTCTCCTTCCGATGTCGTCTCTTTGTACATAGGTCACAGATAATTGAACAGATGTATCACCATATCTCCATTTTTCAAAAGAAGTTTAATACTCCATTACACAATCGTTGAAACGATTTGGCTTCCTTGTATTCCTGCGGGCCCTACGGTGACATTTGTGTCGGACGGTGTGTCATTGTTTGAACCTGCACACTTAAAAAAATTCATGTAAACTTAGGTGCTCTGAGACTGACATATACGAGCGTCAATTTTGACATACAGTTGAGTCAAAATAGACGCGAAATTCAGCTCAATCAAACGTACTTTTCGTCGAGTAACGAACTTTTTAGTCTCGGAGCACTTAATTTTACATGACATGTTGATTTACGTCTCATCCTTTATGTCAAAGATGGATTCCATCACGTGTAAAATTAGGTATTTCTAAGTGTGTGGACTTATGCCTGACGTCTTCTTAATGCTCTTCGTCCCGAGCTTCAACCGGCGTTACTATGCATGGAACGTTACCTGAAATGAAATTGAAGCAAACAAACAGAAAACATCAACTCAGTGATTCACCTTCATCTGATGGGTTCCGTTCTGAATTCAGCCTCTTCAGGTGACTTGAGTTCTTCAAGTAAACTTTTCCATGATAATCCTCAACTGTGACTCGAGCCTCTTCCTTGGCTGTGACTGTCATAGTAGTTGGGTTTAATGTCGGAGTAAGTTTGTTACCCGGTAGCACGTTTTTCACCAATACCTTATCTCCGACAACAAGACCTGACCATTTCGCTCTACGACGATCATCCTTCCTTTCCTTTCCCTTTTCTTTGGCCTGTTGATCCCGATCACTGAAATCGGTGAATGGAACCGCTGTGTTTACGTCTTGTAGGGATGGTAGCTTA